CATACATACATACATACATACATACATACATACATACATACATACATGTAGAAAAATAAATAGATTCAATTAAATCGAAAGCTAATGTTTCCTATCTCGTGTAGTTCAAAGGAAAATTTCTCTTAACTTTGGCTCCACACACACAGATACACAGGAAAGCTGTTTGTCCTGAAATGCAAACAGGGATGAAGTCAGACCGCGGCGACCTTCTGGTCGATGCTGTCAGCGAGGGGAAATTCAGAGGTCAAAGGTTAAGCAGCGTCTTCTGAAGCTCTGTGAGGCTGCCAAGTGGAGGAAACACTAACAGTTCAGAGCAGAACAAAGCCATCGGGTGTCACCTATTAATAATGAAACAGTTTAGTTAGCGTGTACATTTCACCATGTTTGCTCAAGATACTAAAATATTATTTTATTATTTTAGTGACTAACTACATCTCATCTGTAAGAACAGTCAATTATGGCACATTGTAAAAAAAAAAAACATACATTAGTTCAAATCACAGAAGAATAAATTCTTCTGTGGATTTTTGTGGATTTTTAAAATAAATACTGCAAAATGACGTCTGATTTGATTAGCAAAATATCTAGCAAGTTGTATATTATTTGAAGAGTAATGACTACATCACATTGAATTTTATTAATGTCCTTTATAGTTATATTTTTTGTGACTAAATAAAGTATTCTTTAAATTTGATTGAATTCTTAAGAGTAGTTGTCTGGTAACAAACATGATTTGTTTGAAGTATTTGCAAATAACTCTATGACATTTTTATTTCTATTTATGTGCTGCTCCTTTCAGATGTTTTTCCACATTACAAAATACTCATTTAACATTGGAAATAGAAAACGAGGCATTCGAGGTCAGAAAAACATGATGGTTTCCATTAAAACTGAACCTGCAATAACATATTTATCAGAACATCCTTTTCTGGGATTACTGACTCACGAGTTTACCCAGTTAAAACACACTAGAGTTGTTTGGACACATGAACCAGATATCTTGTTTAAATACGGTTAAATGCCTTGCCACTGCACCAGAAAATGTCAGTGGTTTCCCACAGAGGCAAACTACTCAAAGCCCGCTCGTGCTAACTTTTAGGCTCAATTAAGAATCACCAGCTCATCTGATATGTGTGTGTTCAGACTGTGAAAAGAAGCCAAAGTTACCGGGGCAAACCAGCTCATGCATGGGGGCAAACCAGAGTCCTCTCTCTGTTGGGTGACCTCAATCCCACTGCAGATGAATCCATTTTTATTAGAAATACTTTTACTCGCTCCGAACTGCTGAAGAGCTAGAACCTGCTGGTTAATGTGATTATATGCACGCCGGGCTCTGGAATGATCAATCATATCACAATAATATGATAATGGACACAATGCAAAATAATCATTACAACATGAAACCTAAACAGTTGTGCGCGTAACTGATGGTCAGTAAATGCATCCCGTTTTTGAAGGAGGTGTGTTTGGGAGCAGGCGCGGGCAGAATGTAGGTCAGCGTGTATGTAAACCAGAGGGGTCAGATGGCGTGCGCTGGGGTTGGCTGACCTCTGACCTTCTCAGTCCGGCCGCATGTCATCAGCAGACCAACCTGCTGGAGTCAACAGCTGGATCTGAAACACACTTTTTTCATGTAAAACACCGGGAACTGTCCCTATTGGGCAATAGGCACAATTTGTAAAATGTATACGATAATCAATACATAAACTGATCAGTTGCTGATCAAAAGTCCTACATTTCTTGTCTTTTCTTACATACTTATTGAAATGAGTAACATTAATACTCATGGCAGATAAATGGAAACAGAAAACAGAACTAAAACTATTACATGTGTGAATAAAAACACTAAGGATTGGAGTAAAAGCCGATATAACAAAACTGTTTATAACAGAAAATGCTTGTTTCATTGTTAAGAGCTTTTCACCAATAAGGTATTTCAAACTAAATGTAAGTTAAAAAAAAAGAGTAGCCGTAAAATCACTTCAGCAGGACAGAGTTAGAAAAATGGACAGTATGAACTAACTCTGAAATGTGACCGGAAAATAGGCAAATGAATATATACGGTGTCAATGTGCTCAAAGTGATTTTCAAATAGTTTTAAAGAATGTGAGATTGTAATTTTATATAAAGAAAAATGCATCCCACCATGTTTGCAATATCAAAACATTTTTCAACTAAAAAAAGAAAAATGGTAAAAAAGTGTTCAGTTAAAAGAACAGTTATTCCATAGACTTAATAGAAAAACACCTTGTGAAAATTTACACTTGCACCAACGGTGACTCATTTTATTTCAAGATGAATAATAAACAGTCACATTACAGCAGAGACGTCCAGCTCAATGATAAAATAATGATTTTCAATTAAATAAAAAACTTTAAAGCACAAATGAACAATCAAGCACAAACGAATGGAGCAAAAAAGGAATTTCTTCCTACATAAAAAAAAAAATCTACATAAACCTAAATTACACAGACATTTCCAATGTGTGCCTTGTTTTTTTGGAGCCCAGACCCCCGTGTGTCCGTGTGGACTCTGGGAGGGCCACACCATCTGCTCCAGGACCCCCCAAATCCCAAACACTTCATGTGTTTGGGATTTATGGGTTTGTTGTCCTGATATAAGATAAGATGCCTCTTAAGCAGTGTGTGTGTGTGTGTGTGTGTGTGTGTGTGTGTGTGTGCGTGTGTGTGTGTATGTGTGTGTGCGTGTGTGTGTGAAGGGGAAAGTGGAAATGTGTGTACTCGATTTTTAACATCCAGCATAGGCCAAGCTCAACTGATCTTTTAAATGTGAAAAAAAACAATATCTAATTTTAATAGAATGAATACAAGAAGCATGAGAGCAAAAAACCTGGAAATTCAGAGCTGCTTCATTTATGAAATATCAAACAGCAGCTTTGCTTCTCAGCTACAAAATATTAACAGCGCTTCTCTTCCTGGTTTTGATCAGCGGGATGAAAACTTAGAGACTCGACCGCCTTCTTGACAAGACTAAATCAATACATCAAATGTTCTGATTAAAAGAGCAGC